ATTCCATGATTCAACACCCTCCTCTCTAAGTCAGGATAATAGTCTCTATCAGACCATGCATGGTGTGAAAATGTGAATTTTACCAGCAGGCAACAGAAAAATTAAAAAAAAAAAAGCCCTAACAAACAAAAACCAAACCTCAAACCAAAATCAAACCAATAGCTTGGTTAAAAGTTAGAGGAATCAATAAAACATTGAAAACTTTTCTTAATGTTCATATATATATACGTATACACACACATATATATGTATATATAAAAAATTCTAAATCAAAATTTATGACTTTCCATACTGGTGTATTTCACAATATATCTTAGACACAAGAACCTGCACTCAAGACCTGTTAATTCCCTAATATCTGGTTATGCATTGCCTTTTGCTGTGCTATCTGATCCCATCACCAATGCCTGCACTATGCCTACAGCCCTTTGCTTTCTAGTTTCCATTTTTTATAACACTTAGAAAGGTTGCATTTCAATACAATACAAATAAAAAATAAAAATGCAAGCATAACTCTAAGAGCAAAAGGCTGCAGCTACATACAAGCAAATGCTTTTATTTAAATTCAGCAATGCTGAGTGTCTGTACCCAAAACTTCTCTCCTACATCTCTGTTTCATGTGGGCAATATATCATTACAGGCATCTGATGCCAAAATTCTTTGCTTGGAAACTTTAGAAATTTCTGCTTTTCTAATTATCACTGTTACTATACATATATTTGCATAAATGGTGGGATTCTGGAGTACCTGTAAAGCAACTTCATTGATTATTTCTATACCAAATATATATTACGATTTTATATAGAGTTATCTTACTGGTAATTGTTCTCTGCTATATTTCTCCTGACTCTTAAACTGAAACATTCGTTTGTCTACATGATTTCATGTGCCAAGTGTAATTACTTCTAGAGCAGGTCATCTGTGTCTTGAGAAAGTTTATTTCTTCAAAACACTGAGATGAAATTACACTGCACCGTTGAACCTGACTGATTAAACAGAATTAGGCCAAAAGACAGCTACTTGATGCAAGATGTGTTCTATTTTTTGAACGTCAAAGTGTGTGAAACTGGCAAAATGTTGGCTGTCCTGCGTTCTTGTCAAACTGCAAATAAAGGTATTGTTAATGTGAGAAAGCAAGCTATTCACAATTTTAAATTACTCTGTTGTCAGCTTCCCCATATAATTATGTAGCCCTAGAAACTGCAAAGAAAAAGTAATCAAAACATTTACACAGAATTGGACCTGTGGATTACTGGGAAAAAAAGTTTTATCAGCAAAGATATGGCTAAAGGATTTTAGTTTATTTTACCTCAAGCAAGGCCTTGTGTACACTAACAAAAATGAACCTCAAACTCCAAGAAAACATAGGAAACTTTTTTTTGTTATCATCCTTCCATATCTCTGTTATTTAGTAAACATTCTAAATAATTCGTCTATTTGAATAGTTGTTAAGGAGTCCCATGTCTTCTCTAACTTGCATATTGTCAAACTCCACACTGGAGGATGTGTAGTTCCCTACATTTAAACCTAAATAGTGTAAGGAAAATAGGAAGTTTATCCCTTTTGGTTACAAAGATATATGTTGCATGAACAATAAGATCAAACTGCTGCACAGACACTGTTCCTGTGGCTATCAGTGAGACTTGCACGTACATCACATCTGCACAAATAGATTCCTTTTTGCAAATATGGATAATTTACATTCTTATAATTATTATGGTATCTGATTACCTCAACTTCAAAATTCTTTTAATTTCTAAGGATGTGAAATGAAAATTTCAGACAGTGAAATTCTTCTGTCTGTTTGGTCTACTTATTTTCTGTAAAAAAGATCTGCTTTCAGAGTTCCTGGATGGATGTCAAGTTACTCAATTGCATAGAGTAATGCATTTGCCTGTGCCTACCTTGGAACTGTTCATTGGTTTATTCTGTTTTCGTTTCCCTTGGTAAATTAAGTATTTGGAATGCTTTTGTTCAAGACACTGTTGACTTTAAAAAATTATAATTACAACTGGAGCCTGAAAAAACTTCTTATATATACTGCTTGTATATACTGCTGTTGATTTTTAAGTTAATATATTTTTTGATTTAGAGATCTGAAAGTAAGAAGTGTGCTTAAACTTTCTATGTAAAATGTAACACAAGGTTGAGTTGTAACAATACTATGGCCATGTTGACATACCAGGAGGAGCTCATGTCAGACTCCTACAAACCTCTTCCTGCAGCCATCGAAACTGAAAATTCTAATTTGCTAAGCAAACAGAAGTTAGAAAATGCCTGGGATATGAATATATAGAGTATATAAAATTAAAATATAAAATATTAATTTTAATTCTTGAATCTGTAGAAATTCATAGAATCATAGAACCACATTCATTGCAAAAGACCTCCAAGATCATTAAGTCTAACCTTTAACCAAATACCATCATGCCCACTAAACCATATCTCAAAATGCTGTGTCTGTTAGTTTTCGAACACTTCCAAGTTTGATGACTCCACTACTTCCCTAAGCAACCTGTTCCAATGCTTAACCAGCCTTTCAGTGACATTTTTCCTGATATCCAACCTGAACCTCCCTTGGCATAACTTGAGTCCATTTCCCCTTGTCCTGTCACTGGTTGCCTGGAAGAAGAGGCTGACACTCACACTGCCACAAAATCCTTTCAGGTGGTTGTAGAGACTGATAAAGTCTTCCCTGAACAATCTCAGCTCCCTCAGCCTCTCCTCAGAGGATTTGCATTCTGGATCCTTCGTCACCTTCGTGGCCCTTTCTCTGGGGTGGCATTTTTTGTCCCCAGAGCTTTCCTAACTTTGCCACCAGTATTTAAGTTAAGAAAGTTGAAAACAACTACTTTGATCCCAGTGGTAAGAAAAGAATGTTACTTCTTGACTTTTGTTGAAATAAGTCACAACATTTATACACTTCAGAATAGCTCGTTAGGAACAGGCCAAGGCACATCAGGAACCTCCTGGACTTGACAAGGTTTCCACAGACTTGCTAAATTTCAGTGGATGTCTATTCCATTACCTTGCTTGCCTGTAAATTTTTGAACATGTGTAAGCTTCATTATTCACAACTGGCAAAGATATAAATTGCATTCTGCTTTATTTTGAACCTGCTCTCTGCCAGTTTTACCTTTCATGCATTGCAAGAGCAGTTGCACAGTCTTGTATACATTCACTGTGCCATTCTGGAACTGACAAACCTTTCCTATACCTTACTCATCTTTTTTTTTTTCCAAAATAACAATTCCTGCCTTACTGCACCACTTGATATATGGAAGATATTCCATACTTACAGTCATGCCTTCTGCCTTTCTCTGAATATTTCCATTTCAACCAGAATTTCCAATATCTCTGAGGTATGAGAAGCAGAACTACTTGTATTTAAATACAGGCAAAGGACAGATTTATACAAGAGTAAACAATATTGTTGTGTTTTCTATTCCTTTCCAAATAATTCTTAAATACACTTTTCTTGTTCAACTGATAATGGAGACTGAATTGTCATTTCCATCAAATTACCTATTACTACACTAACTATATTACTGTTTACACATATAAGTTTGCATGTAAAGCTATTTTTTCTCCATATGAAAATTTTTTAACAGTAATTTACATTTAATTTCTTCTGCCATTTTGAATCCATTTACTCAGTCTGGTAAGGGTTTTATACATTTCTAAGATCAAGTTTCACCTTTAAAACTGTGAATAATTCAGTATTATCAGCGGGATTTCTCATCATCCTGTTCACAGTCCCAACAGAGACCCTTCCACTTTTTTCCCCTATATCTAGCCTTTTAGAAAACTAATATTTTATTTCTAATCTGTTTCCTGCTGCTTAACCAGTTACTGATTCACCATTTTGTTTTTCATATTCCACATTGTAGGAAACTATTATTTTCCTTAGAAACTTATGAGAAGACCTTGTCAAAAGCCATTGGCAATCTAGGCAGCATCTACCAACAGCATCATATTTGTTGATCCCTTCAGAGAGGTTGAACAGGTTTACAAGACAGGGAGGGCATTGCTAAAGAAAAGGCATATTAATTTTTCCCAGGAAGATATTACACGTTCAGGAGTCACATAATTCAATACTTACTTTCTTTTAATTTCCTATTTTTGACGGTACACATCTAGGGCTTTTTAACATATTAAACCCTTTTAAGAAAAATTATATCCCGTTTGCTATTCTCTAACTACCAGTTAACAAGACCCTTCCTGAAAAAGAATATTCTGGCATGGGAGCTACCCCAGTTCTTTCTATAACTTAATTCATCCATGGTGAAGTAAAAGTAGAAGTTAATGGACAGTTTGTGGCTCCTGGTATTTATTTAAATGAACTTTTTCTGTTTCTATTTTCAAGCAATATTGCAACTTGTTTACTTCTGATTTTTAAAACCTACCAACTGAGAAATTTGGAAACAAATCAGTTATCAATTCAGTTACTTTGCAGAAATTATTTCTTGCACTCAAAACTCCATAACAGTCAAACTGACAAGGAGCCAACAGGAAGCATCTTCTTTCTAGAAATGCAACCTTTATTCCCAAGATTAACTTGTCATTGAAATTGTTTAACAGCACACCAACAAAGACATATATTTACCATTTTTTAAATCCAGAAACTGAGGTTAAGATGTAATAACATTTTTTTCCCTGAAAAAAAAAGCATCAGAAAAGTGAAGGCATTACATCCTAGATTAGATGACTAATCTGTTTTTATGAGCTCATGACAACACTGAAGAGTTTTTCGCCATTCTGGAACTTGACTACAAGTCTCTAATTCATTTTCTTGACAAACAAGGAAGTCTCAAACAGTTTTAATTGACTCAGAGGTGTTAAGCTTCAATTTTCCATGTGCCACTCACCTCTGAACTGTCTCTCTCTTTAAATGTCAGTCTTCTGGGAGAATAGGATGTGCCTGTGCTGTTTGCAGTGCCACTGACTGCTAAACAGACGTGTGGGTGCTCACAGTTTGGGAATGGAGGACAAGGACTTACCTGCTTCTTTGGCAACATCTGCAGTTGAAATGTTTTGGAGGTTTGAGTGCACTCTGAAGGTCACAGCTGGTCCCAGCACGCTGAAAGAGATTATTAAAAAATGTAAGATTCATAATCAAGAGACATGGCATAATATTCCTTATCAAAATAGGTTTTTAAAGAGAACCTATTAAGACACCATTTAGCCCTCTTCCTTTTGCTTCATTAGCTACATTTGCATACATTTTTATACCTCTTGTGGTTTCTTGTGTGTATCTTGTGCCTGTTTGAAAGAATTTCAACAACATTAACTAAACTTCAGAACACTCCTGTAAATAGTATTCTTATTAAGAAGGTGGCAAAATGGAGGCACTGAAATTGTTATTCACCCAAGTACAGCATAGACCATCACTGGAATTCAGCATCCAAAGAAGATTACAGGTAGTTTCACATTTTATTTGCTTAACATCAACACAAGCGTAGTCCTGTTGTCACAACCGCAAGTCAGAGGGACAATATAGAAACTCGGAATATTTATCTTGATCATATTCTGCAGGAACACGTGTGGGGAAAAGATTTGGAACATATCTGATCCAAGAGCTGATTTTGATCAGAAAGATATGGCAAAGTATTTATCTTTTAACAACAGAAGTAATCACCTCTTTGAATAACTTATGAGGGGAAATGATTTGACTCTGCAGGGACCTTTCTGGGTGTAGCCTGATGGTCCTTTACAGCACTAAAACCTACAAGACCTTTACAGAGGAAGGTACTGGTTAGCCAGATGAAGAGAGGCAGAATAAAGTACTCAGGGTTTCACAGAAAATTATCATTGTGCACTTGTAAGGAAAAATAAATCCATATAAGTAATGTTGCAGTCATTCTCCTTCCATCCCAATAAATATACAATTCACATACACATCTAATGAAAAGAATGAAGAAATTTCAGTCTGGATGTCCTCAAAACTACATTAAAATACTTATCCATGAAAAATATAAAAAATACACATAAACACATGGTAAATATAGTTCTGAAAAAAAATTGTGGGTAACAAGAGACTATGGAAATATTAATGTAAGAATTTACAGAGGAGAAGAGTGTAGGTGCTCAAGGAGAACAAAAATTGGCCCTATTTTATAGAAGTTTACTTACATATTATGTATTATGCAATTTTCTATGTTTTTATTATTCATATTATCAGTGAAAAGAATTACACTTATACTCTGAGGAAAAACCCTACTTGTAAGGTGAAGTACATTGGCTGGACCCCTATATTAACATATTTTGACCTTCTATAGCTGTGGCTTATGAGAGAATGAAATTTGAAAAATTGCTGCATAAAAGAAATATATTGAAATATATCTTTGTTGCAGGGTTTGAAATGAAGTATTAAATTATTTTTTAGTAATATGTTCATCTTCTGCATTCATAAAATGGAGAGCACTTAATGAAGTGTGCTTAATTGCATCACACATATCCTAGACAGAAATACCTCTAAACTTTTTCCATTTCAGGCACAAAAAGTCTCTATTATTAACCATAAGACTTTGCTTTGAGGTCACAAAGGGAATCAGAGTAAGAATAAGAAATATTCTTTTAATCTTTTAGTAGCAAAGCAAGCATTGTGCACATTTTATTCTGGACTTAACGGGAACTGCCACTAATCAATCATTTTGCTCCAAATACTCCTTGAAGAAGGGAAGAAAAAAACCAGAGATTTTACTGCTAAAGGACACTCTAGATGCCCAGTCACTAATGGCCAAGAAACACTTTTAATAACGTTAGGTAATTATAAAACATTTCTCAACATCATATTAATATTGTAGATCATAATACTCAACAATTGCAAAGTACTTTTTATTTGAGATAACTGCTTTACAAAATTCCAGGCTTTTCCCCAGTTCTGTCACTAATACTGGGATAATCAACTACAAAATGCACCTAGGAATTTCAGGATACCAAACACTGAATATAACTACTGCCCTTTCTGCATTGCCAATGTAAGAGAAATGCTGATTTCTCTCTGGGTGCTCAGATATTTGCAGGGCAATGAGCAATCTGCTTTAAATATAAGTAGGCATCACCCCAGTATAGAGCTGTTGCATAACAAAGATGGAGGGGGGAAACTTTAGACATTCTTCTCAAATCTTCACTGCATAGTCCGTTATAGCTGAGAACCTGGAACGAACACAAAGTTTCAAGCACGACGTAGTTACACTTTGGCTCTATCAGCAAAGACATAAAAAGTTTCCTGCCCTCCTTCCCTTACTTGAGAGTTTTTCTTCTATTTCTTGGCCACTCCCCACTTCATCCCCATCGTTCTCCCCTGCCCCACTCCCCGCAGCCCTGCACTTCTTGGCGTCATTAAAGTCACATAGATTAAAACTGGATCATTTCAGAGACCCAGCCCAGGCAGTGAGAGACGGGGATTTCCGAGCAGTGAAGCCTTTCAGCAGCCATGGCACTATTCTCTAGTGACTCCAGCTGGATAATCCAGGAACACGAGAGGATCCAAGTCATGCCCACTTATGTGCTGCCACAAACACTGTCATTTCTCCTCACTACTCAAGGAAATAAAGAGCAAAAAACAGAGTGGGGAAAAAAATTCTTTATGCAAGTGGGATGCTATTGTGCTAATGCTATCATTTTCCAGGAAAGAATAAATCTCAGAATCATTTAAAACACCCACTCATATGTTGCTCTGTGGGATATTGTTTTCCTTTGAATTCTTGTACATAAGAAATCACCTGAGCACCACACCAGCATGACTTCACTAGGCATATTCACAAAATACAAAAAATAAAGTAGCTCTTGTCACAACTTTTTGCACCTTGGCATTCTGTTTATTTAAAAGAAAATAAAAGACCTCGAGATTACTTGGTCAAAATTGCATTTCTGCCTGATGTTTTGGGAACTGACTGCTTCAGGAGCTCATAAAATGAGATTTTTCTCATGGGGGGCTTCTGGCAAAAGCACTCAATAAATAAACATTTCAATAACAAAAGATGCCCTTTGGGGAATTCCTCACTGTTCATTATGTATCGGATGAGAACATTTAAACAAAACCAGTAATTATTTGACTGCAAAATATTTTTTAAAGGCTTTTTAACAAGAGGTCAACCAGCCTGAAAAAAGGTTCCAAGATGTATAAAATGCACCCCTGATAGTTCCTAACCAGGAATTTTAAGTCGGGTAAATGAGGCTGCTTTTCTGTGAGGCTGTCAAACCCTCTGAAGCCTCGCTAATATTAATGGCAATTGTCTTTACAAGGCTCTAAGTACAGAGGCTCGATGAAGTGCACACGTTTGTTTATGACCTGACGAATTGCAAACAAACCATTCCCACAGCTGAGGGAGGTGCTGGGGGGAGCAGAGGCATCCCTCCTGGCTGCTGACATCAGCCAGCACTCAGCTGGGGAGGGGAGAGCACTCAGACAGGTAACCACAACGTCCGGGCTAACCTAACCTACATCTGAGACACACAGCTGCTGCAATTGAGATTAAAAATGTTACATAAACGTGATTAAAACAATATTTTTTTGTCTATCCCTCCCCCAAGCTGTATGCTACTACAGTTGCACCTATGCAAATTTGTAGTCGACTCTTCTGATATAAATGAACTTATACCCACCTAAGTAAGAGAAGATTGGGAGTTTTGGAAGGCATCTGGACTGTACAATCGTAAGCACACTAAGGACTTTTTTCTTACATTTTGTTAGGATGATTTTTTGAATAAAGGTAAGCAGTCCTGGCTTCACAGCTAATAAACAGTGACTTCTCCCCACACAAAATGTAATGTCTGTTGCAATGACCTGCTAAATTTATTACTCAAAATTTACTGACTAATTACCTCCTCTGTTGCCTGTCACAACTTCTGCTTTTTTTTTTTTTAAATTTCAGTAATGTTGCCTTCAGTCATAATAGGGTTTTTTTAACAAAGACATTCAAAGCATATTGCAAATTGTCACCCTTATGTGCTGTTGTCTTTTATTCTGTTTACTAGAGATGAAATAATTACAGTGTTTATACCAAAATGACTTGAAGGTTGATTGCTGATTTAATAATATCCCCTCCCCTTGGGTTTATATTTCTCATCTGAAGGTGGGAGGGTACAACACACACAGAAACAAAGAATATTCCTTGTGTAAAATAGAAGTATCTCCTTTCATTAATTGTTTTACGACTAACAACATTCTTCTTATATTTTCCCTGTCAACAAATGAATGATCTGAATAAACAGAGCTGGAGCATGATCAATATGGCAAGGTCCATATCACTTTCAAGCCGTAGGTTATAATTATATTTATGAATGACAGGATTTGAATCTCCATAAATTATGTACCAAGCTTTGCATGCCTATTCCTCTCCCTCGTGTGTGTGTACTTCAGTATTACAATATCACACCAAAGGTTTACTGTGAGATACAGTCACAGTCTATCATACCCCCTAGTGGAAAAGGATTTGAGAAACAAGTGCCAACATGGTTCTGTGTACTCTTGAAGATGAGACATAGAGCTGATGCCAGATGGAAATGAGTTGAGGTGGCACTGCATTTTTAAGAGATACAGGCAGAGTTCAATTTCTCAAGACTGGAGGAAGATGAGGAGATTAGGATTGGATATTTCCAACATGAAACATTCTCTTAATGACCCTATTTCATAAAACAGAGCTTGCCTTAATAAAGCTTAGATTTGAAATTAAAGTCTCTACTTGTCTATATGTTCATTTCAAAATCCTTTAATCTCTGGAGGTTAAGAAAAGCAATTAGTAACGCTCCAGAGGACTGTGCAAAGCAAATTTTATAGCAGTGAAGGTAATTGTCTCAGGAAACGTTTGGTGGGCTTGAACTAATGACTTGCAATGTGTACACATTTCTGTTCTTTCTGTGTTTAGGAATTTGAAGCTTATGTTCATTGTTTATATTGCAATGAAGCCTTCTTTTCACCTTCTCAATTTTGGAAATTTTAAAATGTTCCTGCTGCTATAAATGTGTTATATGTTACATATAGAAGTATATAAACATACTTATGTCAAATCAAATTAATGGAGAAAAGCACATAATTAAAAGCAGCATTTTTCTACCACAGTTTTTTTTATACAA